AAATGATCAAGGGTCTGGAGAACAAGCCCTATGAGGAGCGGCTTAAGGAGCTGGGCATGTTTAGCCTGAAGAAGAGAAGGCTGAGAGGAGACATGATAGCCATGTATAAATATGTGAGAGGAAGCCATAGGGAGGAAGGAGCAAGCTTGTTTTCTGCTTCCCTGGAGACTAGGACGTGTGGAACAATGGCTTCAACTACAAGAAAGGAGATTCCATCTGAACATGAGGAAGAACTTCCTGACTGTGAGAGCTGTTCAGCAGTGGAACTCTCTGTCCCGGAGTGTGGTGGAGGCTCCTTCTTTGGAAGCTTTTAAACAGAGGCTGATGGCCATCTGTCGGGGGTGCTTTGAATGCATTTTCCTGCTTCTTGGCAGAATGGGGTTGGACTGGATGGCCCACGAGGCCTCTTCCAACTCTATGATCCTATGATTCGTCCAAGGTTGCCCAGTGGTTTTTCATGGTGGATCTGGGATTCAAATCCTGGGTTCCTAAAATCTGTAGTTCAGCATTCAGCCCACTGTACTTCAATGGTTTCCTCTAGATCATTGCTTCTACCTTTTTACAGTGGCAGATGCCCGAAGTTGAATTAGCCTGAAGTTGAATGAAAGCTTTTAAACAGAGGCTGGATGGCCATCTGCCAGGGGTGATTTGAATGCAATATTCCTGCTTCTTGGCAGGGAGCTGGACTGGATGGCCCATGAGGTCTATTCCAACTCTTATGATTCTATGATTCTATGAGAAAGTTAAAAGAAAGGGAGAGACCCACCATTATTTTCATCTTTCAAGGCGAGGACACATTAAAGCCTTTACCACAAAGCAGGCATCCAAACGCTATAATCCTATCCCAGGACCCTTGCTATGGCGCCAAGCGTCTAAAGCAGCATGGCCCAGGAGGGCAAGATTAAAGTCGCCATTGTGCCTGGCGTCTAGTGAAAGGGCTCGTTTTGACATGAAAAATGGCCCTGGGATGATGATGAATGGGGTGTCCTCGCATGCTCGCATCCACTTCTATCTTCCTGGGTTAACGCTGAGGTAGCAGACCAGGCTGCCTTCTGTGATGGAGACCCTCATACAGCTTACCTTCTTTTTCCTCCCGTTGGTTGGGCTTCTAGAGAGCGATGATTAATTGCCTAGCTGTAGCCCTTGTCAGTTAGCCGGCAATCTTTGTTCTCTGCGGTTGAACCATCTGCTAAGGATGTTCGGCACTGGCAGCTTGCTCCCAGGCAACCCTGCCTCTCTTTCATAGCTGGCCTACAAAGACCTGAATTCTGAAACTGGTGCCCTCCCTCCGAGCACCTTAGGGAGTTTCCAACCCAGACTTCACTCTCACTTTGAGGATCCTACAACAGTGCTTCCGTTTATGTAATACAAATGTAACCTCATACACATCAGATGAGTGCTGAATCACCAGCTTATAAAAGATATTAGTTGTTCCCTGCCAGGTGTTGCTGTGGTCTATAGTCAGAATTTTTGAAGTAGAGGTAGCTATCTGGACTATTATGAAGTTCAGATAGCTATACCTTGCCCCCTTTTTCTTTCCCTTCTGCTTTCTCTCCTCTCTTCCTTCTCTACCTCTTTCTTTCATTCCTTCCTTCGCTCTTTGGTTCCATCCTTCCTTCTCTTTTTCCTTTCCTTCCCTCCCCCTTTCTCTACTTCTTCCTTTCTCTCCTTCCTTCCCTCCGTTTTTTCCTTCTTCTTTTTATTTCCTTTTCTCCTTCCTTCTTTACCACTTTCCTGCTCTTCCCTTTCTTCCTTTCTTTCTTTCCTTTCTTCTCTTCTTTCTTTTTCTCCCTTCCCTCCTTCCTTCCTTCCTTTCTCTTCCTCCTTCCTTTCCTCTTTTCTCTCTTCCTTCCTCCTCTTCCTTTCTCTTCCCTCCTTCCTTCCTTTCCTTCCTTCACTATGATGGCTTTTGTATTGGATCACACGATCGGAAACTTTCCAAGTGTCTAGAACTATGTAATCGGCAATAATGCATGCAGATCCAGTAAGGTGGCCTTTTGCAGCTGACGATGGTAATTTTGTCAGCTGATTGTTTTAAGTGCAGGCCAAGGTCTTTAGGCACTGCACCCAATGTGCCGATCACACTGGGACCACCTTTACTGGCTTGTGCCAGAGTCTTTGCAGTTCATCTTTAAATCCTCATTGTCGTCTTTTCCAGTTGTTTCTCAATCCTGCTGTTGCCTGGGATTGCAACATCGACTATCCATACTTTGTTGTTTTTTTCCATGATCGTGAGTTCGGGAGTATTGTGCTCCAAAACTCTGTCAGTCTGAATTCGGAAATCCTAGAGTAGTTTGTTCATTTTCTGTAACTTTTTCAGGCTTGTGATCCCACCAGTTCTTTGTCACAGGCAGATGGTATTTGTGGCACTAGTTCCAATGAATCATCTGAGCAACGGTATTATCCCTCTGATTGTAGTCAGGAGTATTGTGCTCCAAAACAATATATTATTATTATTATTATTATTATTATTATTATTATTATCCTGCATTATCTCTCCAAAGGGGAGATTATATAGAGTGCTGTTGGACAAACCCTTATCCTGAAAATCTATCCTTTCCCCACCTCCAGAGGAAGAGGAACAAAGCAGAGGCAGATACAGTTTACAAAGTGATTTCCCTGACAATGTTTTTGAGAACACAGAAGTTGAATACTGTTCTGAAAGTCTAAGAGACCTGGATTCAAATCCCTGTTAGTCATGGAAACTCCTCAAATAATCCTGGGCAAGTCAGACTCTCTGAGACCAAGTGGATGGCAATGGCATGTTAATTGTATGGTAGGGTTGCAATAAATCAGAGTCAAATTGAAAACCAATGGAAAATTCAATAAAACGTTGAAATGTTATGATTTGGATCCTTGTGATCTCAAATCTTTCCCAAGGTGGTTGCGAGCTAGAAACAGGAGTAGTGCAGCATCACTGCTTTCAGTTATGGAGCAGTATATTGGAGGAACCTGCAAGAGGAGGATGGGCTTGGACCCCTCCGGGGTTGCCCACTCTTAATCTAGAAGGCTCTGTGATTTCCACTTTTGCTTTACCTAGTCAGATAGGATGTCTTAGATCAGTGTTTCTTAACCTGGGGGTCGGGACCCCTAGGAGGGTCACGAGGGAGTTTAAGAGGGGTCAAGAAAGATAATCAGAAAACCTATATTTCTAATGGTCTTAGGAATCCCTTTCGCAGAGAAGACTGAAGATCTCTCTGCCTGTCCTTCTCTTCCTCTTTGGAAACAGATGACAAATCCTCCCACCAAAAGCCCTCCTCGGCTGTGATTGACCGGGCTCTCAGCCAAGGGGAGGGCTGATTTTGAGTCTCCAAGTGGGGAGGGGAGAGCAGGCATGCTTGGCGCATGTCCCACCAAAAGCCCTCCTCGGCTGTGATTGACCGGGCTCTCAGCCAAGGGGAGGGCTGATTTTGAGTCTCCAAGTGGGGAGGGGAGAGCAGGCATGCTTGGCGCATGGCAATGTGGTGCACATGTGTGGGTGAGGGAGAGTGTGTGAGGTGAGAGGGAGGCCCAAGCCAGCGAGTCCATTCAAGGCATGGGGGTTCTGTGTGGGAAGTTTGGCCCAATTCTATTGGGGTTATGAATGCTCTTTGATTGTAGGTGAACTATAAATCCCAGCAACTACAACTCCCAAATGTCAAGGTCTATTTTCCCCAAACTCCACCAGTGTTCACATTTTGGGCATATTGAGTATTCGTGCCAAGTTTGGTCCAGATCATCATTGTTTGAGTCCACAGTGCTCTCTGGATGTAGGTGAACTACAACTCCAAAACTCAAGGTCAATGCCCACCAAACCATTCCAGTATTTTCTGTTGGTCATGGACGTTCTCCATGCCGAGTTTGGTTCAGTTCTATCCTTGGTGGAGTTCAGAATGCTCTTTGATTGTAGGTGAACTATAAATCCTAGCAACTACAACTCCCAAATGACAAAATCCACCCTCCCCCCTAATTTGGGAGTATTTGGTATTTGTGCCAAAGTTGGACTAGTGAATAATACATCCTGCATATCAGATATGTACATGATGATTAATAACAGTAGCAAAATTACAGTTATGAAGTAGCAATGAAAATAATTTTATGGATGGGGGTCACCACAACATGAGGAACTGTATTATTTATTTATTTATTTATATAGGGCTTTTATATCCCATCCTTTCTCAACCTCCGCAGAGGGACTCAGAATGGCTAACAAAGTGGCACCCCATGGTGCCCACATCAAAACATAAATATACAATTAACAGCAATGTAATAATAACAATATAAAACAGTATAAACAGTATAAAACTGTATAAACAATATAAAAACAATATAAAAACAGACAACAAATAGACAGTGGTCACCGATTTAAATCATTATCCCAGGGCAGTCCATCAGTTCTAAATAAGTCAACACGTTGGTAGGTCAGCCTATTCTCTAAAGGCCTGATCCCATAGCCAGGATTTTGTTTCCGGAAGGTCAAGAGGGATGCAGCAGATCCAATTTCACTCAGGAGGGAGTTCCACAGCCGGGGGGCAACCACAGAAAAGGCCCTGTCCCTTGTCCCTGCCAGACGTGATTGTGACAATGGGGGGACAATGAACAGGGTCTCCTCAGATGATCTTAGGGACCTAGGTGGATTGTAGCGGGAGATACGTTTGGACAAGTAAACTGGGCCAGAACCATTAAGGGCTTTATAGGCCAAAGCCAGCACTGTCAATGGTGCTCGGAAACTGATAGGCAGCCAGTGGAGCTGGCGTAACAAGGGCATTGTGCGCTCCCTTTACCCAGCCCCAGTGAACAGCCTGGCTGCCGAAAGTTGGACTAGTTGAAGCTTCCGGGCAGTCTTCAGAGGCAACCCCACGTAGAGTGCGTTGCAGTAGTCAGTATGAAGGGGAAGTGGCATTAGGAAGGTTGAGAAACACTGTCTTCGATGAAGGTCCAAGGTCGACCATGATGATGAAGACACAAATGTGGCAGGAGGCTTATCTTTGCATACATATTTTGTTTCCTTTCCCCTGCAGTGGATTGCATGGACCCCACCTGCTCAGGGCGCGGTGTGTGTGTGCGAGGAGAGTGTCACTGCTCTGTCGGCTGGGGAGGAACAAACTGCGAGGCACCGAGAGCGACCTGCTTGGACCAGTGCTCTGGCCATGGCACCTTTGTGCCTGAAACTGGCCTGTGCACTTGTGATCCCAGCTGGACTGGACACGACTGTTCGATAGGTAATGTATCAGTTTCTTTCCTTTCCTTTATCTCTTCTTTGATCTTCTATATCTCTTCTATGATCTTCTATAATTTGAATTATAGGAATTATTTCTGTTTTTGTGTATGTATTGGTCTGATGGACCTCAGTTCCTTCCATGATCTTCTGGAAAACTGACATGTAGTTTGTATTTGATCAAAAATGCTATTTGATATATAGGGATTTTATCACATGAGGCAGGCAAACCAGGATTTCACTTCATGGAACCAAAGGTGATGCTCCAATGCTGTGTGCACCCTACTATTTGATTTTCCTCCCTATCCTATGATTCTACCATCACTTATGGGTAAAATCCATCAATAGCTGCTTGTCCCATTACATTTCTATTACTTATTTTAGTACACTGTGTCCCTTTCCACTTCTGTGCCAGCAATCAAATGACACCAATGGGTGAGATCCTCCTCCTCTGCCCTTTTCCCCTTGCTATCCCCAAGGTAGTTGCTTTGCTTTTTCTAATTTATATCTTTTTAATTATGAAATTGCACAATCAAACTAAGAATTAAATTAAATGAGCCACAAGACATGCTGGGTAAGCACTGTTTGGGCGAGCACAGATTCGTCAATCCAGCATAATTGTGCTAATGCAGAGAGGCGCAATATTGAAGGTGCTTGATTTGGTATGTATCTCACTATCTACATTAATGCAACTGTTGATGAACAGCAGGTTGGTTTGATAAAGTCCACAGATGTTAGTTTTGCTTCAAAAATGGGAGAGAGCTATCTAGATAAGGTAAAGGTAAAGGTTTTCCCCTGACATTAAGTCCAGTCATGTCCGACTCTGGGGGGTGGAGCTCACCTCCATTTCTAAGCCGAAGAGCCGGCGTTTTCTGTAGACACTTCCAAGGTCATGTGGCCAGCATGGCTGCATGGAGCACCGTTACCTTCCCACTGGAGTGGACCTATTGACCTACTCACATTGGCATGTTTTCGAACTGCTAGGTTGGCAGAAGCTGGGGCAGACAGCGGAAGCTTATGCTGCTCCCCGGATTCGAACCTGCGACCTTTCGGTCATCCAGATGTGGGGTGAACTATCTGCATAATAGAACTTGTGCTTCTTGCTAACATAGGCTCAAGACATAACACAACCTGCACATTCTGCAGGTGAGATGACCTCGAGGCATTCATCTTGGATGTCTATCTGCTCTATATTACTCGTTGTTTATGTCGGTTATGCACCGATTATAGACTCAATGAGATTGCCCTTAACTGCGACTCCCTAGACTTCCATAAATTATTTTTATGTCAGAGGTGGGCAAAGCACACCCTTGGGATCTCATGCAAACTCCAAGCTGTGTTTGCATCTTCAACATCTTCCTGATTCTCTAGACTGCTGTTGTTATATCCTCCCAGAACTGCAATTTGCCTTTTAAATAGATCCTAGGGCATTCATGCACTGTACAGTATTACAAATCTCATTTTTCAAAATCATAAATGACCTTCCAGCCACTTTTATGGAGGGGATTTGCTGGCAGTCTATGCAGCCCAAAGCAAGGGTGCAGTTACAGAGAAGCAAAATAAGGACGTATCTTATCAGTAAGGATCCCCCCCCTTCAAATATGAAACTTTCCATCAGTCCCTAAGTTTTCAGCATTACAGAGAATAAGGACTTGGTTGCACAAAGGAAGCAAACTAGTATTTGCGCCTATTGCATAACAGCATGTGCATCCCATTGCTGGTCTACCTTCTTCCTGTGATTAACCTATTCCCAGCTATTGATAGGTAAAGCTCATCAATAACTGTCAATCTCACCAAGTTCTTATCACCAAGAGCAATGAGGCAGTTCTGCTTCTGTGCCAGAATGTCGGCACTGAAGTGACCCATAGGATGGTGGGTGGAGGCTCCTTCTTTGGAAGCTTTTAAACAGAGGCTGGATGGCCATCTGTCAGGGGCGATTTGAATGCAATATTTCTGCTTCTTGGCAGGGGGTTGGACTGGATGGCCCATGTGGTCTTTTCCAACTCTTTGATTCTATGATTCTATGGTTTGAGAACAGTCCATGTAAAAGGGATCTATGAGTCTTAGCAAACCACAAACCTAACATGAGCCACCAGCATGATGTGACCTCTAAAAATCCAGTGCGATTCTTTGAAATCAATATGATCAAAGGTCTGGAATCCAAATCTTATGAGAAGTGGCTTCGGGAGCACTAAAAAAACCCTGAGGAAACAATCAGGGCCAGTTAACACCACCCAACAAAATATTCCCCCAGGCAGGAAGCAGCCAGGTTTTGAAGCTGCAAGGCCATTCAATGGTAAGCAAGGTGGCCAGTTGCAACATTCACACTTGCCTCAAACAGACAAGAGTTTTTTCTCCCACCCTGGACATTCCACAGATATATCAACCCCACTTGCCTAGTTTCCAACAGACCTCAAAACCTCTGAGGATGCCTGCTATAGATGTGGGGGAAACGTCAGGAGAGAATGCTTCTGGAACGTTTCCATATAGCCTGGAAAACTCATAGAGACCTTATGTATGTTGAGAAGGGGCATGAAAGCTTATGTATGTTGAGAAGGGGCATGAAAGCTATGTTTAAATCGTTGACATTAAATCGTTGAAAGGATGACATATTGAAGAGGAGGAAAGTTTGATTTCTGTTGCTTTAGAGACCAGGATGCAGGGCAATGGAGCTAAGCTTCAGAAAAAGAGATATCACCCAAAATTAGAAATAGCTCCCTGATGGTAAGAGCTTTTTTTCAGCAGTGAAAAATGCTGCTGACTCAGAGTCCAGTGGGGTCTCCTTCTCTTCAGATTTTAAAACAGAAGTTGGGTGGCCATCTGTTGTGGGTGCTTTGATTGTGTTCCTACATGGCAGGGGGTTGGATTGACTGGCCTTGCAGTCTCTTCCAAGCCTATGATTCTGATCATTTTTCAAAAATTATGGACCACTGGAAGAGCAGGAGAATGGGGTTAAATGTTATGCAGAAGTATGAATACGGGACCACAGATCGGCAAAATCAGCACAGTTTTGTCAATGGAGAAACGTGTGATAGCGTGGGTGCTTATCCGGTATGCAACTGCTATCAGTACTCATATAACTAATGTTGAATAGCAGCTTTATGCAATAAATGGTACTGAAAATAGTTTATGCATAGAACTTATCTATTTGCTGCATTTGCTTTCCCTTGGACTGCATTTCTAAATTCTGAATGGATATGCCAAGCTACTGCAATGCTGCAGATCTGTTGAATGAAGCAGAATGTCATTGGGGAGCAAAATTCATACGGGAAGACAATCCCTCATTTAGTCCCATTCTCCATCATTATATTGCTAACCTCCCAGAGAAAACCAGGAGAACAAAATTCTCCTCTGGACTGACCATAGCTGCCTATATTACACAATGGAAAGAAGTGCAAAGGAAGTCATCTGTCCATACAAAAGGAAATGTTTTCCTCCTTGCGCGCCTCTCCATGTGCTCAGTGCATAGCCCCCCAGTGTGCATAAAACACCCTTTTGATTTCAAAGTCACACAAGCAATTGGATGTGCCTTTGTAATACAGTATGTGTATAGCAAATAGATCTATCTTTCAGAGAGTTGCAGCCTTGTTGTTAGATGTGAGAAGCCCAGGTAACAAATGGGTGTTTACAAACTACCTTAGCAAAGATTTCTCACCATGAGGCGCAAAACGATAATACCTTTAACACTTTGAGAAATGAGGTCTGGGAAGGAGATCTCTGTGTAATTCTGTGCTGCTTGTGAAAGTAACTTGCGGTGAGTTTTGCAAATGCAGAAATAGAAAAAAGTTATGTTCTGGTATGCAACCCAAGGTAGTGGTTGTTTTGTGTCGAGTTCAGAAGGAGATAGCTGGTATAGGTTATACAGAGTACTAACAGAACAGGGAAAAGAGACTTCAAATAACAGAATCACAGAGTTTGAATATTTATTTATTTACTAGCTTAGGTGTCCAGCATTGCCTGAGTTATTTGAAAAAGTCATTTTTTTTAATTTTACGAAATGCATAATGTTGTGGGCAGGGGGGGGGGGGGGGGGGGGGGGGGGCTGGGGGGGCTTCAGCCCCCCCCCGAAATTCTCATGGTGGTTCGCGAAAAGGCCTTACTGGTGCATTATTTAAACTGTTATGTTTATTCATATCATGATCTGATCACCATACTCAATATATCTCATATGCATGGGGGTATTGGGGTAACGATACAAAAGGTTTGCTAGGCTAGACCCTCTTTCACTCAGACTCAGCCCCCCCCCCCACCCCCCCGAATCGAAATCCTGCAATTTCTCTGGTGTGGGTGAACTACAACTCACATCATGCCAGGTTAACCCTGAACCCTTCAGTAGTTAAGTTTGTCATGTTGGACAAGTTTGCTCTAGATGCATCATGGGCCTTAAATGCTCTAAGGTAATATCTATGATCTGTGACCATTGTCTATGCCAGCCCAGGTTGACAATTTGGAGGGCCATAGGTTCCTCATTCATAGAATCATAGAATCAAAGAGTTGGAAGAGACCTCATGGGCCATCCATCCAACCCCCTGCCAAGAAGCAGGAATATTGCATTCAAATCACCCCTGACAGATGGCCATCCAGCCTCTGTTTAAAAGCTTCCAAAGAAGGAGCTTCCACCACACTTCGGGGCAGAGAGTTCCACTGCTGAATGGCTCTCACAGTCAGGAAATTCTTCCTCATGTTCAGATGGAATCTCCTCTCTTGTAGTTTATTTACAGTATTTATATTCTGCCCTTCTCACCCTGCAGGGGATGCTGGGCGGATTACAATGTACATATACATGGCAAATGCCATAGATTACAATGTACATATACATGGCAAATGCCATAGATACACAACATATATAGACAGACTCGCAGAGGCTATTTAACTTTCCAGCTTTTTGATGAATGTATTCTGGCCACCAGGGGAGCTGTCGCTTCACCATCCATTTGAGACACTGATGGAGTACTTCCTCATTCTTTTGCTTATTTGCTGGAGATTTTATGGCTCGTAAATTAG